ATGACATGGACATTCGCCAGTTAGAAGCACAACAACAAACTCCGTTTGGGAAATATTCAGCCGTATCTGCATGCGTGCCTTTTAATTAAAACATAAGGCATAATACAAACTCATCACAGATTAAGCAAAGTAAATATGAAGAGAATGATGATAGGATTTCTTCTCTTAGAAATTTTTGGTTATTTCCAAACTTCAATCTAAAGCCTCACTTTCTGTGAATGTTTTCCCCATATTTATTATTAGCCAATGTGTTTAATTGTTTGTTATTGTACCTTAGCACTGGGAATGATGCCTTCTAAAAATTTTTGCTTTCAGAAAGGCTACAGGAAAATAAGCACCAGAAGTTAAAAAAAAAACCCTGCAGCCAGCAAGATGGATTTTGCAAAGTGGGATAAGATTTCAGTCACAAAAAATACAAATCTTTTACAGTTACAGTTACGTTGCCAAATATACAGAAATAAAATGTAAGAAATGAACCATTTATCAAGGATTCCAAAATAAAGTGAACAAGAACATCATCAAGCGCCAAAGCTTATAAAAGCCTCAAAACATTAAGATTCTCACTTCTACCACAAGCTCAAAAGATACAGCACAAGAGTCAGTTGTTCCTTAGTTTTGTTTTGTACGTTTCACACACCATTTTTCTTCTGGTCACAGAAATTTTGCTTTAATCAATGCCTAGAATATACTTGACTGATGAATGAATAGCAGCTATCAAAGCAGTGGAGAATCTGACACTCCTCTCAAGGTTTTCCACTGTTGTTTTTAAACAGATACATGTTTTAAACACAAAGCATATTCCCATAGATTTATTACAATCTAAAAGGGAAATATGTAGTTAACAAGATATAACTTATCTGAAACATGCTCAGCTAAAACCCAAAAAGAAACCAAGAAGGAACATGATATGCTCATTCTGCCCTGCTCTCCTCTGGCAGTTTGATGTTTATGGTCTCCTACTTCCCATTTGAAAACAGCAAATTCTTGTGGCTACAAGTGATTATGCAAAGCCATGACAAGCGCACCAGCACAAAAAGTGAGAACAGGGAAAATAATTCACTCAGTTAATTATTTGAAAGTTATTTACAATGATAACAACAACAGATTTTTAGATAGAAGCCTGATTTAAGCTGACTGACCCTTTCAGCATTTCTAAAGAAATTATGTATTATAAAACTAATTCAGTGAAAAATGAAAGTAAAAATAGAAGTGATGAGACATCTTCTAAATAAGCAAAGCTGCTTTTACAGCAAAGCTGAATAACTGGAGTGTGGTAAACATACCGCTGTTATAAATAACATCCAGCCTTTTGACATTATTCTTTAGTTAATTATTTCAAATTCTTTATAAGCATTAATGAATCAAGACTCACGGTTCTCCAGCAAAGTGAAGAAAATTACTCCCATATATAGGAGGAAAAATGAAGATACAGGGACCCTCCAAAATTACAGTGGCACACCTGTACGGAGAATTCAGGAGCTCTCGTAGTATAAGAGAAAAAGCATCCTCTCATCCAGATGAGAGTGCTTCCTAAGTGACCAGTTTGTAGGATTTACACATCATTTAATTTTACACAAAATGTTGCATCAATGTTTTTAAATTTAACCATGACTAGTAAATGACTTATCAAAGTTTTATACTGATAGGTAAGGCCCAAGTAAATTCTTTTTAAATGGAAACTCTAACAATTAATCCCTGCTGAGGCATTTTCATGTTCTGCTTCAACACCTAATCATAAAACCATTAAAAATAACATTTCATGTTAAAAATGCTAGCAGCTGCCGAAGTATCGTATACAGCACTGTCAGATTGTAGATAAAAAAAAAACACTAAGACCTAGAACAACAATGATTAGTAAGTAATTGTGTCTCATTACCTTTGTGGTCTTCTTGGGCCAGCTGACCACAGGGACACCCGAAATGGCAAGATTTTGGTCATCATCAGCATGTTCCTTCAGTATGTTCTGTTGCAAATGAAAAGGCCTGTATTAACCAGAGAAATATTTCTCCAACTGAAGAGTGCAGAGACTTACAGAAGACAATACTCCACTCTGATGAAAGATAAGAGTGACAAGATCTCTGCTGACTTGTTACATCTCTCCAAGTTACTTTTGCTTCCAAACTTCCAATTCACACTGAAACTCTCACAACTGTCATTAAAATCCAAGATGTAAAGTTTCTTGCAAAACAGACAGCAAAATCAGCCATGAATCACCTCAAACATTACAGACTTATTTAAAACTGTTGTGTCAAAAAAGACTGGTGCTTTTTCACTGGTATCAGTCTAATACCAGTATCACCTCTCCATTTACACTCCAGCTCACTAAATCCCAAATGAGCCCCACTAGTCACCACAACTAACACCTCTCCTAATCAAGCCTGCAAAGGACCTAGAAGCATCTAGGCTCTGCCACCATTATTTCTGCAGTCACAGGGCATCAAGTGCATAGTTTGGAGCAATCCTCAGAATCCTGAACGTTCAGATAAGTCAAGATACAGGTTCGTGCATTCTAACTTGTCATCTTTATGCATGTGGCAATTCAAGAGCACTGTCATTTCCCCTGGCCTTCCTTCCACACTGATGGGCACACCAGAGCTGCTGTAATCTTGTTCACTTTATGTGATCAGGTAAGGCATTCAGGCTCCTGAGTATTCACTAGGAAAGGATCTGACTCTAGATAGTACAGTATTAAGGAAAAAGATTGGTCTCCCCTCCCTTCCACCCCCACCACATCCTTTTGCTTTGATGCACTGTCCTAGAAATCTCCTGAGTGAGTTGCACTGGCTTACACAGCTTCTACCAATGTGAATCACTCCCATGGCCACATAAGTCAACACAGAGGTGGGGAAGAACTCTTTCTAAGCGTATTCAATTGCGCAGCTGGGAATAGTCCACGCTTGCTTCCCTTGACTCTCTACGTACTTACTAACCTAGCTACAAAGGTCTTCATTTGGAGTTCAGGTAGCTGAAAAAGACAATGAAATGAAAACAAAAAACAAGTCTGAAAGAGGATTCTGCTGTGCTGCTGAAAACTGATGCTCAAATAATCACCAACAGGTTAAGGGGAAAAAAATGCTCCAATAAAACAAACAAGAACTGCAGGTTGGAAATTACCTCATAATAGAATTTAGGAGATAACCCCAGACAATTAAGTTCAACGGTGTTGCTCCCAAGTATATCAACTTCTTGAAAAAAGCTTAATTAGACAACAATAGGCACCAGGCTCTCTCAGTCCCCAGTGTAGAGCTTTAATAATTAGAAATTTCACACACTACACAAAAAGAGCTTAAAATACAGTAATTGTTTTAATAGGAAGTGCACTTGGAATTCATCAGTAATCATCCAGCTAAAGCAGGGAGTAGGATGTCATGTTCCAGGCCCCAAGAGCCCAAGCAGGCAGCCTAGCATCTAAACTAGGGTTTGGACAAGTCTCCCTGGGGCTGGCTTTCTCTCCCTGGAGCTCAGGCAACCTGCTGGATTCAGCTCAATTCCCCAGTCTCCGCTTAAATGACAGATGCTTTGCTAATAGATACTACAGCACCAGCACAGTGCTGCTTCTCCAGATACGATCATACCAGTAAGGCTGTTCCTGATACTGGTTAGTCTAAAAGTAGCACCAATGACCAAAATATGCCATACCAGTACAAGCCCAGTTTTGTCAGCCTGGCACTGTGGCTGCGCTCAAGAGCTTGCACAGGCATAGCCTGGCTGTTAGGAATAAAACCCAGCTTGCCCCAGCCTGACTCTGATGTGGAGTCTGTAGCATAACTTCAGCTGAATACTCGAGTGAAACAGCTAACAACCTTTATGTACAGACTAGTCATTGGCAAGTTAACTCTTGACTGAGCTGAGGTTAAGCAAGCACCTCTTTTCTCACGTCCTTTTTATTTTGAGAGAGTGATCACTGCATTAACTAAACCGTGACCACATTCTGAAAGTTAGTTTTCAATCCTAAAAATGGAAAGGTCTTTTGTATTCTCATAGCAAAGTCAAAATTCTCCAGAACAAGGCGGCAGCTTGAAAGCCGTATAAACAAAGGACAAATTAATCCCTCTTTACTTTGCTACTCTTAGATTTGAAAGCTTGTAAGACAGAAAACCTTAACATTTCCACTAACAACTGTCAGAGACTCTGAGTTCAATAGAAAGCAGAGTATATTCCAAGAACTTGGCAGGATAACGAAGCTTTCTTGTTATCATACGTATCACATGAAAATATTACCCAAGAAGAAATTTAAAAGTATGGCAGTTTATCATCTCAGCCAGCTGAAAACAATAGAGGTCTGAGCAGCAGAACCATAACCAAGCCACATGTGCACTGACCAGTGTCAAGTGTCACCAGTACACAATGGGCTGGAGGAAGCACTTTTCTTCACCTGCTTTTTTTTTTTTTAAAAAAAAAAAAAAAAAAAGATAACGCAAAGCCATGGGGCTCCAGGTAGACAAACAATGTGATGCTCATCCAGCACAAGGCTGCCCGATTCATTACACTTGAAGGCTGTGGTGACAGCAGCAGGTACGAAGGAAAGAAACTGATTAAGTATGTAAGAATTCAGGTTAGCCATTAATTTCAAAAGCACAAAAGCACAGCAAGGAATGACTCCCCTGAAATGCATTCAGTGGAGGGAGGTTTTTTTCCTGTCGTCAGAATGAGAAGGGGGTAAGATTTCTTGGCAAGAAAAAGTCAGAACATATTTCAGTAGATATCATCTGTCTTGCACAAGAATCTTCTCCTGCTGCCAAGGAGTTGCGGATATTTGACAAACTCTTCTTCAAACTGAGTTTCTTCTGCCCTAATGGACTTCCACAGTCCCTTCTGAAGAAAAGCAGCATTCTCGCTTTGAAGTGGGGAAGGTCTGTGGCCTTACAAGGCAGATCTCACAATCCTCTTCCCCAACAGCAGCAAAGGAATTACCATCCTACTGGTAACAGAACAGAAATGTGTGCTGAAATCAGAGGCTGCATACAGACAAGTATCACTGGCAGAGTGTTTTGTGTGGGATGCAGACTGTCACAAAGGTCTGCTCGGCTTTACCTGTCCTGTGATGTGGGATGCAAACTACACCAAGGAGTAAGATGGTTACCTCCCTGTTCTCTTCTTCATAACTAAGTCCACCCCAATTGTATCTTTAGTAGACTGACATACTATTTGGTAGCTAAATAGAATGCAAACACGATGAAACTCTTCCAATCCCCAAGGCCACCAGCTAAGTAAAATTACTTCCCAGTGATTTTTTTTCCTTCTTTTCTTCCTCATCAGCATAGGTATTTTTCTAACAGTTCAGCTGCTACTTAATTTTTAAATTGGGAGGCAGAGTTGTTGCAATGTTTCATATTTCATTTCAGGGCATGTATATATGGAAAACAAGGTACAACGGCAGGCTGTGTGTGCCCCCAACAATAACACCAACAGCAAGGATGTGGGGGCAACCGCTGCCATGTCTTCTGGCTGCTCGCACTGCCAACAGTTACGCTGCCAGGCCTTCTTGTCCTTCTGCAACTTGGGTCAGCTGAGCACCCTCAGGGAGGGTATGTCTATCGGTACAACAGTTTTCCCCCATGTTTGCTGCACATGCAGCTCACACACAGCCCAGCCGCCGACATTTGGATACAGAGTATTGCATCTTCTTAACTGATTGTTCAGATGCCATCTGCTATGGAGATGCTGCTGTCAGCAGTCGCTGTTTGGAGGCCTCCGAGAAGCTCCTTTGGTGGTGAACACAGGTCTCATGCGATACGGTGCCCATACAGCAGAGCTGCAGCCAACAAGAATTTAATTCCTTGTTTGAGCCAAGGGAAGAACTGACCGGCTCCCCAACTGAGGCCCATGTTATGCTCTGCAAATAAGCCTCCCTTGTGCTGCTGCGCTCCATCGATCATGGTGATAAATGGGTTCTCAATCTGCAGAGGCATTACCTTGGCACTTCTAGATTGCTCTGTCCCCACTAGATAGTTGCAGTTAGTTAGGAGCTTATATGACGTGTAAGGAATTTACACAGGCTTAGTTTAGTTTTCAGTCTCCTTTCTCATAAGGAAAATAAATTACTTTACTTCAAAGAGTCTCACCTACTTGACATTAAATAGCTGTATATAGCTATAGTTGTATTTACCACTAAGAGCAGTAATCCAGTCACCCATCCTCAGCTGTATTCTTGCTCAGATGGGAAAGCATGGCTTCTCTGCAAGTTACCCAAATTTGTTCTGTAAAACTTCACATCACTAAATAAAATGGTTTCATTTCTCCAGTTTTAACTACCCCATCCTGTTTTCTGAAAACATTATCTTACTGAAGCACAAAGACAGACTTGAATGTCATACAGAAAAGTTCTTGAGTGTATTTCATTAAAAAAATAAAACTGCTACAATAAACATGGATTTATTTTCTTCAGGAAGAAAATTAAGACTTTCCAAGCAGAGCCAGAGTTTTCAGACTTTCTCTCAGAGCATGTTCTTGCTATGCATTTGTTAAAAATAACTGTCAAATGGGTGCACTAAAAGGGTACTTTTTATAGGCTGTATTATTAAGACATCACATACCCAAAAGTCAGGTTGCCCATGAAATAAACCTTGTGAAATACAGCCGAATACAGTCACTGCACAGATGCTCTGCACAGCTGCTTCTGCAGGATTTCTGCCTCCATTCAGTCACACAGATGACTGGTGCTCTGGATATTCATCAGGGTGAGGTAGAGGTGCCAGGCTTCTGCTCACTCGACTGCTAATGCTATCAGCAAAATCCCCACATTATTTTCTGTACAAGTTGGAAGACTAGTAGCAAAGTAAGAGGGAATATGATTTACTGGTCAAGGAGATAAATACCATTCTGGAAAAATGGACTGTATTTCTTCTTCTGCCATTACGTCTCTATGTGACACAAGGCAAATTTTTTAAACCCAGTTTTCACAGGCAGTCATCAATTATACGTTCCTACTCTTCCTCACACCTGGCTTAGGATCTGGATGCTAAAGATCACAACTTCTGCTCTGCAGAAGTGTTAAGCAATTATAGTTTCAATACCATTAAAATTATCTTTTGCACACATGATTCTTAAATAATGCTAACTTTTTTCAGAAAATCACATCCGCGGCACATAAAACCAGTATCCAAAATTATGGTCACTTTTATCTTAATCTCTTTGCACCTCAGTTCCCTACCTGTGAACCAGAGATAACAACAACTCATCAATTACCACTTGTGAAGCACATGACTACAGTAATGATGAGTATCACTGGGAACCCCAAGGGAACATTCATATCCCCGTGTTCAGCCAAGGGTCTGATCAGCACGACCTACCTAGCACACACCGAGGAGCAAGGACGGAACAAAATGCTGAAGAGCTGCATTCTGCACACCAACCAATACAGGAATCCTGAAAGGACCATTATGCTGGATGTATGCTCAAGGGGCTGAAATCAGTCACTTGGCAACTTTTCCAGCAGCATGCTCTGTCCTTTGAAGGTGGAGGCCCTAAACATGCACCAATATGCTTCTGATTTTTTTTTTTTTTTTTTTAAGGCAACAAACTGAATAAAATAAACTTCATGCTTTGGTGTGACATGGGTTACAAGGAGATAGGATGCTTTGGCTCCACTGCACTGTTCTCTACAGTGCCAGTGAATGGCAGAAAGGAGTAATGGGCTGTCACAACCAGGGTCCCAACACAAGGTGGGAATGGGACACACCTTGTCAGCAACTGCCTCGGACAATTTGCTGATGAGCAAAGGGAAGGCCTGTGTTTTGAGTCGTGGGCTCTACTTCTGACTTGAGAGGAAGCACACTCAAGCAACCACTGATGTGAGCGCAACTCTCCCTAACTGTCCCAATTCCTTCAGAGCACCTAGCAAGCAGATTATGCAACTGTAGGGAGTTATGGAGGAAGCAGACTATATGGGGTTTAATTAATTTATTATGCTGTATTGAATCCCATTCTCTAAAAATTGAGGGCTCCCTTATTTGTGGGCCAATACTGTAAAAAAGATGGGTAACAAAGTTCTTTAGCAGTTCTTTAGACACTGTTCAAGAAAATGTTTGAGTTAACATCCTTTTAAAAGGGGGTCTTACTCTGACTAATCAGTCACAGCCTCACCAAAGATACAGAGGTGATTCCAGAGAAAACAATTCTGCAGCATGCATGATGTTTAGATGTGGTCATGGGCTCTTTAACCAGCAGGGAACCATAAATATCCAGATGCTGGACTACATCCTGATGGTTACATTGTGTGCTGGCAAGGAGAGAAAGTTTAGAAGCAGGCAGTTATCAAAGGAGACGGAACATCAAGACCGCAGCTCTGGGAGACGCACAAAATAAACTGGCAGATGCCCACTTAGTATCAGTTAAAGCACAGTATCACCCAAAAGGGCATGACTTGGGCCTTTTTCTTAAATGTCCCTGTGCAGCTCTCCATCTCTGTAGCTAGTGAATCCACTGCTCTGAAGAGGAATAAGAAAGCACATACTCCTACACGGTGCTTTAACCAGATTCACATATGGTATCTTGCTGTGTTTCAGTAAGCTGTCTCACAGTGCATTGGAGTATGTCATCAAAAGAGCATGCATGATCATATTCTGAACATCTGCACCATTTATTATGTGTTGTACCCCACTCTGGGATTTCAAGGAGGGGCAGGTTATTTTTAAGTAAACTTGGTCTGTGCATCAAACTCAGAAAAGTAACACTACCATTCTTTCTCCTTCACCACAAATCCATATCCTGGCCTTGAAGCTTCATTTTGATTTCTGATTAGATGACGACCGATCACAAAGCAAGCCAGTGAATCTACAGCCACAACTTTGGGCAAGTGCGTCCACTTTCATATACAAAGTGGCTGATTTTGCAAGAAGACTTTCTGAGCTCTTGTGGTTTACCAAAATGAGTGCTGTGTATCACACTTCCAGGCTCCAAGATTATGGAATATGATTCCAGTGCGCACTGTGTACGTTCAGCCTTCTTTAACTGGCTTTGAAGCCTTTTCTAAGCAGCTCTTGCAGTACTCGCACTAAGAAAGTACAGGCTCCCCTTTTACCACATAAACATGTATTTTTCCCCTCAGGTTGTGGCTTACTCAGCTCTTATGTACAGAACCCATGCAGCTGAACCACCATACTGCACACAGAAACAGCACAAAACTAGCAGTCCAAACACAAGACCACGAAGCAATAGTCATAATTTCAAATCAGGCTAAATTGCCATAGTACTGGACCTGCAGAGGACAGGCTGACAATCTCAGTCTTATTTGACGAGCCCCAGCAAAATTACAAGAGTATGCTGCTCTAGCTTTGTTAAAAAAAAAAATATTAATATGCCTATTTTATCTGATGTGAAAACAAGACACAGAAAAGCTAACCACATAGAGCAAAGGGATGCCATTGATCAGAGGCAGGGCTGGGATGAGAAGCAGCAAGGCCATGCTGGTCTTCAGGAGGAATTTATCCCAAGTCAGATGGGGTACCACTTCCAGTAAACTAAAAATCTAAAGAGAATTTCTGTCACTAGTGAGCATTCACTCCTCACACCATTTTCAAAAACAGTATATTGTACCAGTGGAGAGTAATTATCAACCTATAGAGGGCAATGGAGGAAAAGAAAATGAAAAAGGTGAAAGAAAAAAAAGCAACTGAAAACATTAGACATGTATCTTCTGAATTACAATCAAGTATTTACATTTTGTATGTCAGTTAATCAGATATACTCCAGAAAAACACTACACCAAAAAGGGCAGATTAAGACTATAAATATAAACAGATTTTTTGAGATATAATATTTACACATGGGACATAACAAGTGCTGAACTATGAGAGGATCTGAACTTTTGGCCACCAGTGCAACAGTCAGAAAGGACTGCATCAATTAAGTTAGACTGCAAACAGCCATCCCCCAGAGCAGAGATGGCTTTTGTTAGAGGCGTAATTTCCCTCTCTGGCATAGCAGTCTGATATGAGCTGGTCACTACACACAAGCTGCCACCCTTCTGCTGCAGAACTTTGCTTTCTGATCTCCTGCTGTCTCCTATGCCCACAGAATACAATTTGTGTGGATCAGCAAGCTATCACACCCACCTTCATGTCCTCTAGGAGAGCCTGTGGATCTTCAATGCCTTCTGGAACACACTTCTTGTTCTCTGGGAGAGATTCAAGCTTTTCCACCAGGGCTTTTAAACCCTTCAGTTCAAATTCTGTGAGGTGAGTCCATTTGGTTGAAACTTCTGTAGCTGGAGACCCCGTTGGTGTTTTGGGATAGTCCGTGGGGGTCGTCGATTTTACGCTGTCATCTGACTCATTAGACAAAGTTCTTTTTAGGTATTTCATTACTGTGGCTTTTTGTTTTCTTCCTACACCCTCCTTCTCTTCTGAGTGTGTGCTGTTGGGTGAGGAGGAGCCATCCACCAAGGATTTGGAGTTCTTATCCAAGCTGTCATCCTTCTCCTCCCGGATATGGGCATCACAAGATTCTTCATCCATGTCTAACCACGAATCTGATGAATAGCTGTCAGTGCTACGTTTTCTTTTTGCATCTGAAAGTCAGAAAAAGAATGCTGAAATTTTACCTAATGTAATTCTTAGCTTAAACACTTCTCTACCACTGGGGCTAGGTGCTGCCTATTTAAAAGGGCACTGGATAATGCCTAGTAAGTATGCGACAGGAATGGGCTCTATTCAGTTGATTTTTAATTTGGGGGGGTGGGTTGTTTGTTTGTTTGAATGCTGGTTTTCATTAACATCTACTCAGTTCAAATGACTGGGAAACATTTAGGAAAAAATTATGCTTTCTTCAAAGCTTCAGCCCTCTGTGCCTTCAATTAAGAGTAGGCAGAGCTCTTAAGTCACACACAATTAATTTTCCCGCAAATCCGAAAGAGACCCGATTCAGCAGCCTTACAGCTTTAAGAAGACAGTTAACACAGAAAGAGGAGGGGAAAAGTGGTGGGAAAGAGCATGTTAAAATGCTGTACATCATCATTCTTCCAGGAACTCTGCACAACACAAAATCAACTTCTAAATACTTCTCCTCTTTGCAAGCAACTGTTGGTAAAACAAGAACCCCCACTTGTTACTGCATGAATACTCATTGCTCTGAGACAGAGGATTACAATTACGCTTATTTTACAGACAAGAGGCCTAAACACAGTGAGAAATGCAAGGACTGTCACAGAGTTACATGATACTGTTTTTCTAAATGTCATCCCTGATACATTCTAGGTATTTCTTGGGAAAATTTAAAGGCAAGTTGCTGAGTCCAAAGAACTATTGATGTTAATTTTATACTATGGCTCCTCCTAAAAATCCTAACTGTCACCCAACTCCATGCAATCAAGCAGTGAAAGCAATGTAGGAAACTAGTGGCCAAGGTTCCCTAATGCACACATCTTTTCTCATTTATTAGG